ATCAACGGTTGGTTCACATTAAGACCTCAAAATCTTCAATGAGGATTTTGAGTATTAAAGTAGAGTTACTTTCTGTGCGGCAAATAAAACATCAAAGGATTTGAGGCTTTTGAGGTTAAAACTAGAATTTGTTTTTTGACTCGGACTGCGGAATTTTCGTTATTCATTTTATGCAGGAAATTTTGAAGGGAAATTTCCTTTCCATCGCTCAGTTTGACCCAATACAATTACGGGAACAATTAAAAATTGACATTCTTAATGAGTCATTAAACGTCTCTGATCGGTGCCTTAGATGTGGTCAAGAAGAAATTGAGAACAATCCCGGTTGGATCGAGTGTAGTAATTGCGGGAAATATTCACATTACAGATGTAAACAATCAATTAGTAGTTTGAACAATAATTGATGAGTTAAATAGTTTCTTTTGATTGTAAATATATTTGTAAATATTTTCTGTTACTGTTTATTTATATAAATTTTTATTAAATAATTAATATTTTATAAATTAAAATGAAATTTGAGAGTTTAAATAAATTTGTTTGATTAAAAAAAAAAGAAAATGAGTATTATTATAAATTTAGTTACATATATAGTTAATGAAGAAAAAATTAATTTTGAAAAAAAAAAATTATTTTTTTCCGTTACAGATCATTTTTATGCATTAAGCATGCATATATTCAAATAGAGGTGTAGTTATTGAAAAATTGAACATACTTCATTAATTATTTAAAAAAAAATGCCTGTGAAATGGATATATATGAAAATAAAAAATTGTCTGGTAAGAAAAAAATGGATAAATTGGTAGGAAATTAAAAAAATTTAGTTCTGAATAATTGGAGGTGTAGATTTTGATGTAATAAAGACCTTCATTTTTTTATTTTTATGCTAAGTCTTTTTTTTTAATTGTTACAATTCGATTTATATAATAATAATAATTTTGAAATAAAAAAAAATGCAGGTCTAAATTGGTGCAAAAGAGATGCAAATACACCATTTCAAATTCTTCCGCCAGAAAATGTTGATTGTAGCGCTCATTAAAGTTTTATTTTCTAAATTTCTAGTCCAAAAAAAATTTTTTTTTTAAATTTAAATAAATGAAGTTGTGAATAACTCAATTTAAATTGTGAATAACTCCATTTTTTTATTTTTTGTAAATTCGATTCCTTCGCCGAGATATCGATTGTCAAAGTTATCGATTGTCTGTTGTCCGCTAAGTTCACACTCATAATAATTGAGTGTTTTTCTGAATGGGAATAACCTCCAGCCTCTTTTTTATTACCGAAACTTTTTTCGATGTCAATTGACATTTTTATTCTAGTAGGTAGTACCTAATTATTATTTTTTCATGCGCAGATTAAAATTGGTAAACAACTACTTATTGACAAAATTTATTGAAATTGTTTTTCTACGATGATCACAACAAGATTTTACTCGAGAATCGAGTTTTTTCGTAAAATAGTCGATTTTTAAGAATCGACCTTTAATTTTCGAAGTCGATCAAGAATCGATTCTTGACATTCGATTTTACTGTTAAGTGACTAGTTTTAAGTTCTACATACCATCACAACAAACCTTGCGATAAAAAGTCATACAATTATAAATTCATTTATTGTTTAATATATATCCGAACAAAAACAGTTTCACTGTAAAAAAAATCGCGCCAAGTCCATGTTCATAAGACTATTAAGAAAAAAAAATTTTGTTTTCTTTACAAAAAGATATAAAATAAAAAATTAAAAAATCCAAGTAACCGATATGATTGTATATGATTTTCCGAAATTAGAAAAATTTTGTTGTAAATTTAAAAATTAAAAAAAAATTTTGGAACGTATTTAGTGTGCGCAGTTGCAAAATATTTTACTTTTAACTAAATTCGTAAAATCTATTTACTAGGTCTTTAAAAAATTGAAATGCACAATATGACGCACACCAAGTACGTTCCAAAATTTTTTTTTAATTTTTAAATTTACAACAAAATTCTTTCTAATTTCGGAAAATCATATACAATCATATCGGTTACTTGGATTTTTCAACTTTTTAATTTTATATCTTCTTGTAAAGAAAAAACTAATTTTTTTTCTTAATAGTCTTATGAACATGGACT